ACAGATGCAAAGGGGAGACTACTCAGGACTGTGAGGAAGTGGAGATAAGAGGTCTGCTCATTATCTCGGTGGGAACAGTGGCTTTATGGGTATAAAAATGCTAAAACTGACCAAAATTTATCTTTTTAGCACAGGCAATTTGTTATATATGTGCATTATATTTCAACAGTTTTTTGTTACTGTTGGGGATTAAATCTAGGGTTCCATTCTTGCTAAGTGAGCACTCTACCTACCACTGGGCTACCTCCACACCGTCTCCCTCAACTGTAATGGGGAAGATGGCAGTACTGCAGGGATGCATCAGTTTCTGGAATTTTTTGTTTGTTGTGTTTTTTGTTTTTTCAAGATGGGGTTTCTCTGTGGAGCTTTGGAGCCTGTCCTGGAGCTCACTCTGCAGCCCAGCCTGGCCTCGAACTCACAGAGATCCACCTGCCTCTGCCTCCTAAGTGCTGGGATTAAAGGTGTGCGCCACCACCACCCAGCAGTTTCTGGAATTTTTTTTTAAAAAGAGGTTTCATTAAGTTAATTTTAATGTAATGTTTCTGTGAAGCAAAATAGATATTCTGCTAATAAATCTGCAGCACATGCCTCCTTGTTCACCTATCATGGCTTCCGTGGACAAGCTGCTAAACAAAGGGGCAGGAAGGACATGGTGGACACCCTCCTGGAAGTTTCCTCCTCCTTGTAACCAAGATGGTTACAGTTTCATTATAATTCCTCAATGACTGCAATGGACTCACAGATATCCTGCAACTTAGCTTTTTCCTATGTTCTGGAAATGCTAAGCCCCACAATCCTCTCGTATGTTCCTATCAAGAAGACTCCAGCACATAACCCTTAGACAGCAAACAAAATTGGGAGCGTCACATGTGAGAAGCGATAGCCAAAGAGACCCCCTCCATACGCGCCGAAATATTTTACCTTCAAGGAAAAAATGAAAACTCGGGCAGAGAAGTTAATCTTAGTATCTAACTAAAGTGACCTACCACTCTCAGCTTTGAAGTTAGAGGTGACGTCGTTAAAGCAAACACAAAATCTCAAACTCTGCTCTCTGCTCCCACCCTAGCAGCCTATGAACTTGGGGATCTGCCTGCTCAGTTTTTTGTCTTATATGACAATGTAGGACTAAATTCCCCAAGCCTCTTTGATCCACAGCCTGATACCATCAGCCTTCCACACGGGTCTTGACTCCTAAAGTTACCACTTGTCAGAGAGCTGGACTGCAAACTGGAGTTAAGGGGGAACAGGTAGCTGGTGGCCACTGCGATGAACGGACACCCCCCCCCCCCATGCTGTACTTCAGAAGCTAAGAAGAACCCAAACAGAAACCAGGTCCCTGTGTAGTCGGCAGAAGCAGAACTCAGAAGCCGGCTTCACTTACTTGTCGACCCCGACACGGCCATTTCTCTTGTCCATGTCAACAGAGAGCATGGGAAGGCTTGCAGGGTTCCTTTACTTCTGCAACTAATCAATAAGGGAGAAAAGCTTGCGTTTAATTCTTAGAAAGTGAGAGAATACACATTCTCAACTGGAAACACATGGTCCCGTTTACGGCTTCACACCAGTTCACGTACGTACATCTGTTAAATCTCTAGTCCCCAGTGATTGGAGAGAGGATCAACCTGAAGGACCGGATGATGGGCTAGGGTGCTTTCTTTTGCAGCGTACTGTCTACCCTGACAGCAAGAACGCGCAAAGGAAACTGAAGCCTCTTTCCAAACCAGGAGTGTGACCTGGCAGGGCTTCCTGGGCCACCTGGCTCCCTGAAGACACCGCAACTCCTACTCAAAGCAGAGAAAACCAGCCTCTCTTTCTGGCCCCTTCCTACTATGGGCTGTGTTTCTCTTTCCTTTTTCTTTTATTGCTTTCTGTTTGTTTTTGCTCACCCCCACCCCCTGCTTCTAGCTGTCTAAGAAATGCAGAAGGGACTTAAAGCTTTTATCAGAAAGTGTTCCCTACCTCATCTATGCTCAGCAAAACTCGGGGGACGGCCATGCCGACTTAAAGCAGAAAGTGCTAGCGCTCGCTCGCTCGCTCGCTCGCGCTCTCTCTCTCTCTCTCTCTCTCTCTCTCACACACACACACACACACACACACACACACACACACACACACACTAACCAGATAGCTTAGCACAGAAAGGGTGAAGGTGGTGTGTGTGTTTGAGGTGGGGGAGGGGAAGCAGCTCATCAGATTTACGTAAAATCATCAAAACATTTGAGATATACAGTAACATGTATGACTCTTTATGTTTATCAGATGAGGAACTTGTAAAAAATAAAAACCCTCCACAACTAATAAACAATTAACAAAATTGGGGGCGGGGTGCTGCTTTAAAGAAAAGAAAATCAAAACAAAAAGCCTGGTCTGTCTGGAGTTTCTTCGTATTCAGCTGAAGCCATAAATTAAATACATTTCCTCTCTAATCACTAAGACTCTGGCACTCCTCCTCCAGGGATTACTGTTATACGGCAAGTACATCCTTCAGTATATTCACAAGATATCATCATTCTTCCAGAAGTGGATGATTAACAAACAACATTGCCAGCGTGGGATAATCTCCACTCCCGACACACACACACACACACACACACACACACACACACACACACACGCACACACGCACACACCCTGCAGTTGCTGAGATCCCTGCTAAAGAAACCCAACATTGAATATACATCTAGATATCGGCATCCATGCACACAGTCAGAGTAGACAGGGAGACAGTGTCGCTGTTCCAGCCACAAGAAGAGCGGCACTTTAGTTGGAAACTGTTATACATTCACCATTTTCTAAGCATCCCAGAAACAAAACAAAACAACTCACGGCGGCACCCTACGGCAGCACACTACATTGTCTTATTATCACTACTATTATTTTTCTTTTTTTTTTCCCTGAAAGAGTAAAAAGAAAACCTACCTAGAAGCAACTAAAACATATCATTTTTATAGGCTTATCAAGAACAGCAAAGAAACCCCATGTTTTCTTTCACAAAGTAGTCTGGCAAAGGAATTCAATAAGGAGGTACAATTTGACACAGTGAAATAAAACCAGGCTGGCTCTCAGCCAACACGACGACAACGCTAGGAATCGCACACAAGCGGCAACCGCTTTCTGGTTCATGGCTGACTTTTTAAAGCTACAGCGTGCCTGTTCACTTTGCTAAGGACCTTCCGCACAATTAGTGAGAGGGGACGAGCACCACTTCCACGTGGGCAGAACTCTCCTTGCACATGTCTCGTGCAAGGAAAAAGAAGCTGTCTAAGCAGCCTGGTGTCTCCTCCATTCCGGTTGCCACAGAGATCTTTACTGTTGTTCTGCGTAGCCACGCCGTGCTTCAAACTATTGCGTTTTCTCCCCGTGGGAAAATAAGAGACAGCCCAGGGCTTGTGGCGGCCTCGACACAGTGAACACTCAGAAGCTGCGGTCCTGAGCTAGTCTTTTTTCCTAACAGAGGTGCTGGATAAAGTTCCCAGAGCTGCCTTTTAAGTAATCTCTTTGTGAAGATAAGGAAAGCTCGGGCTGGCCAGCAAATCCCTTCCCTCCACCATACAGGAAGCAGCATCTTTCTCGGAGAGAATGTGTAATAGAAGACCAGAGCTCCTGAAAACGTTCCCATTCCAGCCAAGGAAGCCAAGAGAAACCAAACCAAACCAAATCTTATTCTGCAAAGGAAAAACACTCTGGCAAGGCTTAATTTGAATGGTTTCCCTCAGTTGCATGAAAAAAAAAAAAAAAAGCTTACCCTCCCCACCCAAATTCAGCCAACACTTCTAACCCATGAGCACTTGGTATTGCCCAAGTTGCGTATAATTAAGATGCGTCAACCTACCACCATTTCAGTTCCAATTCAGGAAACTTAGTGGTAGGACACAGAGACTGGAGGAGAGTTTTTCGACCTGGTCAGTCTTGCAGTGCCCCGGGTCAGCTGGGAACTGCTACTGGGGTGGTGGGGGGCATTCCTGTTCCATAAACCTCATAAACGTTTTGTACATGAGTGGAAAACATATACCAATCAACATTTCGACACTTTTAGTTCGAGATATCCACCAATCCCCCACGCCCATCCTCCAAAAAAAAAAAAAAAAAAAAAAAAAAAAAACCCAAACCAAAAGACAATGGCGAAACACACTGACAAAATCCACTCAAAATACGGACACCTTCAGTTCCTGACAAGGACCCCGAGAATCCTTGGTCCTCTGCAAGTGTGATGTTGTTGACTTTAGGCAGAACTGAGGAGAAAGTGGTGTGCCTCCCTTTGCTTTACTAATCCTTAAGGACGGTCAGAGATCAAAGGTCAACAAGTCTGAGAGAAATTTGGATCCTGAATTCCTAAGTCACCCACCCACCCACACACCTTGTTTCAGGAATGGCATTAGAAATTTTCAGCTTCCCAAAGGCCCACAACTGAGAACTATTTCAAAGGCTCTCTTTACTGGGCTTTGTCACGGCCTCGTTGCAAAAGCAGCTATAAATTTTTAGGGTGAATTGTAAGCGCTCAATATTTCTGAGGACTGTTTTGAGCCTGGGTGGGCATGTGTGTACATTATCAGGAATGACCAAAATGAAGGAGACGGAGCGCTAACTCATCAACAGATCCACACTGTGGGACTGGATGTGAAACTCCGTCCTACTTTCCAGCTACAGCCAAAGAGATTGGCATTGAATTGTAAGCCTGGTGGGCAGGGGATCCAGGGGGAGGGGCCCCTGACAGCACAGCTCAGAACTGTTCTCAGAGCAGCTTTGACTGCCACTCTCCAAGGGAAAGAGTCAGCGATGTAAGAATGCTGAGTCTTCCTCAGGCACACTAGGAAAGGCTCTGTCAAGTTTCTCCAAGCACCTCTCCCTTCACATAAAAAAGGCCAAGTTCCCCTTCCTGCCTGCTGTGATGTTTGCCTGTTAAATAAATGTGTTTCTAGAAATATTATAGGAAATTGGTCCCACTTCATCAAGAACGAGCCACCAAGGTGTCCTAAATGATGGTAACAGGTTTCACTTACCAGCTAGTTTCTAACTTTGGAAATAAGTTGACATTTGTGAACATGTGTGTTCACCCTCTCATCTTTGCACACTCTAACAAGCACGTTAGCCATTTGCTCTTATAAGAACGTGTATGTTAACACTGTATTTGTGTGGACTGTATGTGTTGTGTGCTGTATGCAAGTGGTGTGCTTTGTGATTATAGAACATGTTGTGGTGTGTGTGTGTGTGTGTGTGTGTGTGTGTGTGTGTGTGTGTGTTGTGTAGGGGGCGCCCAAACAAGTCTTTCTAAGGCAGTATGTCTGTATTAAGGTAACTCTGGATACCCTAGCCTCAGGATTCTGGAACAGAGAACTTTTGGACCACTTGAAAGCGCCCTCGGGTGGGGGAGGGGAGGCCAGCCAGGAAGGACGGGGGACTAGGTACTTGGAGAGATGGCTTCTATATTGACCCGCACCCACCTCCAGGAAGCACAGACGGCCCAGGAAAGCCAGGCTGTACTGTAGGGATCCTCCGCCTGGTCCGTGCTGGACCAAGGCCCCCGAGGGCAGGGCTGCAGGCTTCCCGAAGGGCGTCTCCAGGGCAGAGGACGGCCGCCCTCCCGGCCGGCGGTCGGCTGAGCAACTCGCGGTGGCGCGGGGGACAGCGGGGGAAAGTTTCTGCTGAGATTCTCAGGGAGAACCGGGCGCTCTGCCTGGGGTGGGAGCTCCTAGGGGTGTGGCGCCGAGCCCAGCACCCCGTCCCGTCCCGCCAGCTCTGCCCTGCTCCACTCCAGGTGACAAAGTGCACGCCCGCGGGGCGCCCAACACACAGGGATCGCGGGGCGGGCGTTTGGGGGAAATTTGGATTGTTTTGGTTTGTTTTGTTTTTGTCCTTATCCTGGTGCTCACTGGTTCCTTTCATCCTGGAGAGGAGGGAGGGCGGGCGTGTTCCCGGACGGCCTGCGAGCCCATCACTTACCTCCCCCCAGCCGCTCGGTGGCCGCCACGCGCGGAGCCCAGAGAAGCGCCCGGCGCGCGCGGCACGCCGGGAGTTGTAGTCCACCGTGGCCCCAGGGGGCTCTGGAGATGGGGCGGAGGGGGTGTGGAGAGGCAGAGACTCTTAAGAGGGAAAGGACCGAATCCGCAGAGATTCCAAGGAGAACGTTTGCCAATGGCTGGCTCCAAACTTCCAGGGAGCAGAAGGGAGGGGCAGCTCCCGGGAAAACTAGTACATTGGAGATTTTCGGGTTAACACCATTTTCTTGTGGATAACCCGGCTGAACTGTGTAAGCCGGACGTTAGCAACAATGATTACAAGAGATTTCCCAGGCCAAGTTCCTATTTTGTGGGCTCCGCTTCCTCTTCCACGTGTGTGGCATACTTTGCTTAGGCGCTCCTGTTTTCTTGTTGGAGAAATAGCACAACTCCATCGGAGGGTAATTGGACTCTCCATTTACAGACCGCTCCATAGCACTCTTTACAAAGAGTTGTTTACTCATTTGCTTCATTCTGTTAGATCCATAAAGCAACAATGGGATTTAAGCAAAGAAAGGCTAAAGATGCAGTTTTGTGTGTCTGCACCTGAGGAGGTTGGAGTCAGGCCTACCTACTTAGTCGCTTCCTCCTCCCACCCTTCCCTCAGCTGTTAGGACTGAGTGGGAGAAGGAGACTGGGAATAGCTGTAGTACAGGGAGCCAAAGAAGAGGGACTTTTGTGATGCATTTTCTTGAAATAGCTAGTGAGGTCCGGGGCTAGCTCAAGCAGGAAAGTGTTTGCCTGGGAAGTGTAAAAATCTCCAAGTATTCTAGAAATTAGGCCCATTTTAAGAAAAATGAGTCAGAAAGGTGAAACAGATTTCACCAGGAGTTAACACAGAACAAAAGTCAGGCATTGTGGCACCAGTTTCAACCCCACCTCTGGGAAGGCAGAGCTAGAAGCATCCCTAAGGTTCCTGGCCAGCGTAGCTTGGAATCCTTGGCTAGGTCCAGGCCAAAGAGAGATTGTTACAAACACACACAAAAAAAAGTGGGGGAGGCACCTGTAGACCTTTGCCTCTACACACACTCCCACAGAAGACATGCAAGGACGCTTGCGCAAAGAAATACATGCCATGCCCTGCTCCCCCACCAGAAACAGTCGGTAAATAGATCAATAAATAGTGCTCCAGGTCTAAGCCAGATGGGGCGCCAGGGGACACCATCCTCCATCCCCAACCCAGAAACTATCTCCAACTGATAATCATTTGCAAAGGAAAATTAGTTTTCGCCACAGAGTCTTGTTGTGGAATATTAGTTTAAGATGTGTTTATATCATTTATGCTGTGGAATATTTGTTTAATGATGCAAAGATGTGTTGCATTCTTTTATGTTAGCATTTGTTTAACTCTGTGAAGCTGTGTTACTTTGCCTGTCTAAAATACCTGATTGTCTAATAAAGAGCTGAATGGCCAAAGCTAGGCAGGAGAAAAGGATAGGCAGGGCTGCTAGGCAGAGACAATAAATAGGAAGAGAAATCTAGGCTTGGAAGAAGAGAGGAGGAGGAGGAGCAAGAAAAGAAGAAGAGGAGGGTGCTAGGGGCCAGCCACCCAGCCACCCAGCCAGCCATGGGGTAAGAAGGAAAGAAAGGTATATAGAATAAGATAAAAGCCCAGAGGCAAACTATAGTTAAAGGGAAATGGGATAATTTAAGTTAGAAAAGTTGGCTAAAACAAGCCAAGCTAAGGCTGGGCATTCATAAGTAAGAATAAATCTCCATTTATTTATTTGGGAGCTGGGTGGCAGGCCCCGTAGAGTTAAAAAACAAAACAAAACAGAGTTTCACTTGGGTATACAAACCACACTTAAGGGCAGACTTATGCCCTAACAGTAGGCTGATAACACAAAATGAACTTACTAGTGTAGCAGGAATCTTAAAAGTTCTTATTGATAAAATCAAACCTGGAGCCAGGTATTGGGGTGAATGCTGGAAGATCAGAGAAGCAGGACAAGCCATTGCTACCTCGCCTCACCAGTTCCTCAGCTGTTCCTGTTTCCTTAAACTGGAAGTCTCTGAGTCCTCATTCAGAATGAATCTCAGCTGAACTGCTGCTCCAAATCCTGAAAGCTTAACCAGCCAAATGCTCCTAGTTTCTGGTCATCATGCCTTATATACCTTTCTGTTTTTGCCATTACTCCCTGGGATTAAAGGCTCACTTCTTGGGATTAAAGGCGTGTGTCACCATGCCTGGCTGTTTCCAATGTGGCCTTGAACTCACAGAGATCCAGAGGGATTTCTGCCTCTGGAATGCTAGGACTAAAGGTGTAAGTGCCACCATTTTCTAGTCTTTGTATCTAGTGGCTTTTCTGTCTCTGACCCCAGGTAAGTTTATTAGGGTGCACAATATTTTGGGGAACACAATACCACCACATACTAGTTCATTTGGAGGTGTTTTTTTATATTTATTTATTTATTTATTTATTATTTATTTATTTATTTATTTTTGTCTCACAATCCTTTGTCTGGCTTTTTTTTTTTTTTAACCTTACAGATTTTTTGTTAATGTAGTGTGGTTTCTGTCTTCATGTCTTTATGGGATTTCTATGGATGTGAATGTGTGTGTGTCTCTGCATCTATATGTGTTTCTTGTTCTTTTTCTTTGGCCCTTTTTTTTTTCTGTTAGCTTGTTTTTGATTTTTCTTATTTTGTTTTTTATTTTATCATATTTTTTTTAAATGCTTGTGGTTTTTTTTCTGATGAAAAGAAAAAGAAAGGGTATGGATTTGGGGAGGTAAGGAGGTGGGGAGAATCTAAGAGGAGTTGGGGGAGGGGAACTAGAATATATTTTATGAAAAATACATTTTTAATAAAAGAAAATAAATAAGTGGATGCATTAGGAGAGTGAAGTGGGAAGGAAAAGCAGAGGGATAGAGGTAAAGATTGTAAGGTGAAATATGATAAAGTGGGGTCAAAAGAGGGGTGAATGAAAGCCAGGACCACACAGTCACAGAGACCCAGAATCCTGGTGCTGTCACTTCCGGGTTAAGTCTATGAACTCCAAAGTTATTTTACCTCTCCAAATCTCTTTGACCTCAGCATTAAAATTTAAGAAATAGCAGTTGTGTAACAATGGCTGTGAGTGGCAGCACAGATTAAAATAGGCAGGAGACACTTAGAATAGTGCGTGTCCTATTATAAGCACTGAGCTAATGTTAGCTACTATTATTATCTACAGCAATTCCTTTTGTGGAAGTATCAAGAAATGAATTGGAGTGGAAGCTGTGTTAGGAGTCGGTGACTATGTTCTAAGCTAGAGACAGTGTACTAAACTAGACTTGAAGCAGCCAGGGAGAGAGTCTTTGGAGAGAAAATGGGCAGAGCAAGGCGAACGGTTGCATGTGGGGGAGGAAGAAGAGGCAATCCAAGGCAGTGTCTATGGATTTAAGGATGCGGTGGCTGTTGTTTCCGACACAGATACAACCACTGGAATATAAAGTTTTGGAAAAAGATGGCCAGTTTATCTTGGAACCAAACAGGAGGCTTTCTGGGTGTGAAGAACCACATACAGCTAGAAATGCTGCTTTGACTATTACGTGGTGATACAGAGTTTTAGGAGCCATTTGTGTAGGAGAGGAAGTTGGAAAGCCTGTGTAGAGGCAAAGTGGAGGGCAGGTCAGCAGGGGTGGGCAGGTGAGTCGAGGAGCCCATGATGATGGCAGGCAGGCACTGGTCAGGTGCAGGCGAGAGCCGCCGCAGGGGTGAAGTCCATCAGAGCCAAGGAAGGAAGAAGCAACGAGGAGGGACACGCCAGCAGACAGTCACACAGAGGGGAAGCCGGGACACAGGAGACCACTGGATGCTGAACTGGCCCAGGAGTTGTTTTGGAAATGCATGAGGGTCAGTTTGCTCTTGCTGCTGATTGGGAAATGATACTGCCTGGATGTTGTTGCTGGAGCCTACGATGCTAGGCCTCGTCCATTGTCTGGGACTACTGAATTGTCTTACACCCTGTGGGTCTTCACTGTCCCACAGCCCCACAGTTAGTTCATGTATGCTGACATTCCTCAGCCTTTACTGTTTTACACTTAAAGTGTTTTTCACATGGTTTTAAGATATGTTGATTTTTTTTCCTGGAGTGTAGCAACTTCAATGATGACATCATTCATGGAATTTGGGCCACCAGTACAGTTCATCCTGTGACTCCCCCTCCAACCCCAGGTTATTCTAACATGAGGACACAAAGATCTACTACACCAGCATTTATTTCTCCTCCCTAATGATAACTTGGCACCATGGATGGTTAAATTTGATTGTCGGCTGGATTAGATCTGGGATCAACTAAG